TAAAAGTTGTTTAAATTAACACGATGTCACTAGTTTAGAGTGCTCATTGGAGATCCGACTCAGTTTATATATATATATATATATATATATATATATATATATATATATATATATATATATATATATATTTATGGAAACTTAAACAAAAATACCTTATTTTTATTATATCATTTCATAAAAATAAATTGCATGATATTCAGGGAGATAATTCCATTTAATTATTTTTTTACAATAGAGTAATTTCCCTTGGGAAGTCACATTAGTATCTATACACTCTTTCACTGAGGAGTATAGCGTGTTGGGATCTGTCTACACAGGTTTTTGTTGTTATTTGAGTCTCAGGATTCCAAACATTTAGAAACAACACATATTTTAAATGAAACAAAAAAGGTTATTTTTTAAAGAAAAGTAGAAGCAGATCGTCGACTGAAAGAACATATTTTTCTTTTTCTTCAGAAATATTCAATAACGATATAATGTCAAATTTTCCTTGCAGTGATGTTTGATTTATCAAGTAACTAAATGTTCCTCGGGCGATGTGAGATGTGTGGACAGACTTACTTCATGACAGTGAGGCTAATGTTTCTGTCGATGCGTGGGCATGGCTTTAGTGGGCAATTGCTGGCTTATCTCCTCCTGTTTTGAATCAGTAATTAATTATTGTTTATCAAATATTCTGGTGGAAATATATTCGTTAAAAAGTTCATCGGCCTGACAAAAAATTCTGATTTTTGGTCAATTGCTCATGTTTTGAGTCGGATTGAGGATGTTTCAGCAGTTGCTTATGAATATATTTATACGTTTACATTCCTGTAAAAAAAAGAAAGGAAAGAAATTCCGTAACAATCATTGCGGACTCGAATATGAGTCCAAGTAATAAATGGTAATACAAGACCATAAATAAAGCAAACAACAATCTATATATTAAGAAATCTATTACAATTACAATGAATGAAAAAACATTTCAAGACTAGTTATATTATGGAATTAACACATTAATTCCATCTATATTTTACGCGCGCGCGAGTTTCCTCCCAATCCTTTCACACTCGTGCGTGTGTGCGCGCGGTTTGCACCCTTTCCTTCCTCTCACAGCTAGACATAGCAGTAACCGTCGCTAGCTCCTACTGATGAACTCAGACGAACAGATTTTGAATTTTTTTTCCCGCACGTTTCGCGGCGTCTCAAAACGGCCAGCGTTTGTAACCAGTTGCTTCCCGATCTTCGACCTGACTAGACGGACAACTCATTTATTCCGTGCCCTTAACCCATATGCGGGCCGGAATATCTTATCTCAACGATGTTGACCCCACACTTATTTACCAAGATTTCTTCTCATCTTGACGTTACCCGCAGTCAACCAGTTGCTCCGTTTTCGACCAGAAAACGTTTGAGACCCATCGTTCGAGACGCGACACAGTCGCAAGCAGAACTTACCCCTCGTCAGTGAACCAGTAAATACAGACAGGGATATCTTATTGACGAACAAACTTGCTGCCCGCAGGTCAGACCTTCTCCGTTTTCGACCAGAAGACGTTAGAGACACACGACACGGTCGTGAGCAAAAACTTCGTATTCAACAGGTGACTTACATTTATCCCTCGTCAGTCAACAGTAAATACAGACAGGGATATATTACTAACGAACATACATTTTTCGTCTCTCTGGGCTCGCCGTAAACAACTCCACAAGACCATGAATCTCGCTTCAAACATTCTTCGTTTCTCCTGGCTAGATGCCCACAGCATTCCGTTAAAATTCTCAACAGTTAATTCAAGACCTGACCGAACTCTGAGTCCCTACTTTGAACCTAAAACACAAAAGAAAAAACACAAAATCACATACACTCTCAAATCATTGGACTCTGAACCAGTACCTTAAAAATATGCATAACATCACTCTCAACGCCAAAAAAAAAAAAAAATCCACAGTGAGTACTCCTTTCTATCTGTGCGCACATACACCTCGTGTCTAACGAGTTCCCTTTTTCCAGAACCTTATAAAACTCTTTTTCCCGCCTTAGCCATCTTGCATTCCTATTTTGGCGCGGAACCCTTTTTCCAAATTTACTTGTTTCTATCTAATTAAAGTTACACATGTTTTATAAACAGACGTCTTTGTCATTTTATTCCAGCTATCTCTTTGATGTTCATTAATTTATGCACTTGTGATTGACCCTTTTCCTCTCACTGTTCATTCACGCATATTACATTATTATTTATTTTTTTTATACATTGCTTGTGGACTCGGTAGTTTAGTGTGGTGTCTGGCATAAGGCCACTTAGTAATAAACCAGCACTGCACGCTGCCGGGTCCGCAACAATATAAAGCTTTTAGATTAGAGAATGTGATTGCGTACCTGAATTTTGTCTAGCTCTTCGTGATAGATATGTGTGTGAAATGCTACAAAATGGCACGAGAGAGAAGACATTTAAAATGAACATTCCGCAATGCGACTACATCCTATGGCCAGATTTGTAAAAGAGGGAAGAGTATGAGTGATAATATCATTCCCTATTTATAGGCTTAAGTGGCGTCTCCTGGCGATGTGTTTTTAGGAAAGTCAAGTAGGATAACTCATAAGTCTCCTCACCAGATGGGCAGAATTTTATTCTGTCCATAAAGTTTGTGTATGCTTGTTTTGTCCCTCCTAGAGTGAAAAGAAAAGTCGAATATTGTGATTGAGATATTTAAACCTACTCCCACTATTGGAAACCAAACAGATTGACAAGAATGTCTACCTTTTTCAAGAAAATGGAGTACCATGTCATACGGGCAAAGTAGCAAAGACCTGGAAGGAATCTCAAGGAATCAAGTCACTGCCATGTGTAGCCCAAAATCCTGACATGAATCAAATAGAACACGTTTGGGAACACCTTAACCGAAAACAGTGGCAACCCTTAATGAAACATTGCTAAAGGAATGGCAAAATATGGATCAGACGATTGTTGATAACTTGATCAAATCAATGAAAAATCGAATACAAGCACTGAAACTAGCAAATGGAGGACCTACTCCATACTAGTTCCAAATACTGTTTATTTATGTTGAGTTGAGATTACGTAATTAAATTTTAAAATTGGATGTAGTTTATTTCTCCTGGCTAAAAACTTTTCTTATGCCACATATATAATTTGTGTAAAATTAAATAAAAGTTTCATTTAGTAATGTGTCCTGTTAATGAGGAAAGGGAAGTTGAATGTATGAGACAAATAAAAGGAGGGAAAATGACGAAAGGTGTGAGGAGTGATAATGTTGTAGGGGACCGTGATGGGGAAGAATATGTAAAACACACATGGGTAGAATTTCCTGATAGCCGGTCCAACTACATGAGAAAGTTGGACTTTAATTAAGTCCAAAGAAGACAAGGAAAAACAAACACAAGACCGATAAATATATGTAAACAAATATATGTATTAATAACAAGTACAAGTTACAAGTTAAATGGACAGTTACATGGACAGAGTGTGTGTGGTGAATATTATGTGTGTGTTGTGGTGAGTGTTCGTACGTACGTGTATTGTTCTTAGCGTGTTCCCAGAATTTGGGAAACGCTGTATCTGTGAGTGTTCACATCTGCGAGTTGGTATAAGGCTAAAGACCTGAGAAAAAAGAGATCGAGGTGTAGGGTCAGGTAGTATTTATAGCCAGGGGAGAGAGACCCCTGGTGAAGGGTTAAGGAGTTGAAGAAGAGCTAACTCCGACAGTGTTCTTAAAGACGAGATCTCTTTGATGTATCCGCTCACAGTTGTAAGTGTTTGTCTCTTTGTGAATTCTCTGTTGGAATCTTTTGTAGGAATCTTTTTGTTGTTATCTCTCCTTTCTTTTAGACAGGGATCCATTTATACTGTTAGCGAAGTTGAAAGAGGCTCCGATTAAATTGTTGATTATTTTAGGCGCGCTCATTTCTCATTGGTCAACATATATATTCATTTAGGAACTGCTATGTGATCTTTTCTCATTATTTACCTTATAAATTACAACTGTCGTTCTGGTGTTAATCATCAGTGCTCTTTTTGTTGTTATTGTCTCAAAATCTTCGTAGTCGTTCCCATGTTCGGTACATGGTATTCTCAGCATCCTTCTGTAGAACCATATTTCAATCGCTCCAAGTTTCTTCTTCAGCTGTGCTTAGATTGAGCTTTCACTGTCATATGGGAGGAGTAGTGGAAGTAGAACAGTATTTTTTTTTTGTTGTTTTCAAAGTATTTTACTTCTAATTAAGGAAAAAATAAATAAAAAAATAACATCTAGATGCGGGGCTGACATATCCACCCTGTAACAGCCGACCTGTTACAGAGAGCACCACACGAACACTGGGGGGGAGTCAAAGACATTATAGTCAAGATATGTGCTCAAAGAGAGTAAAAAAGAGGAATAAAGGCCCAATGCAAATTGTTAAATGGTCTCGTAATAGATTTGGTTACTCCAGAAGTTTGTACAAGTAACGCTCCAAACGAGGGAGCCACACGAAGCACCCTTCAACTGGACTATGACATGAAAATCAAAGGTAAGCTGTTATTTATCGCAGTTCACATAAAAATCGGTTATTTTCTAAACAACCCACTAAGTGACCATGAGCCGTAGGGTAGCCAACGCTAAAACTACCCAACCGGAAGTATGCGTGGGGCGTATTGCGCAAAACACGATATATGCCATTACGCTCCAAGCAACGAACGAGGTAACTTCCTGTTTGTGCTCACTACAATTCCTCTTTGTCGTTATTTCACTTTGGTGATATTCCCCGTCCAGCCCCAAATTTCAAGCATAAATGACGAACAAAAATGTTTCCTGCTTACAATAAAAGCAATATATTCTTATAAAAATTAAAATCTTTTCGAAACTGTGTTTAAATGTGTGAGTGTGCGCATGACTGTTTGTAATCGTTTGATGGCAGTGGAATCAGAAAAAGAGGGGGGTGGCGAGAAAGATTTTTTGAAAGAACGCTGCTTTTTATACGGATATCCTAGACATGTTTAAGGGAGATAACCAACTTCTGCCAAACACTGGATCACGTACGATTGCCGAAGTTAAGCAACGTCGAGCTTGGTCAGTATCTAGATGGATGACCGCTTGGTAATACCAGGTGCTGTTAAGCTTGTATGCGCGCATTGTATAAAGGATAATGGCTCGGAATTGTTAATCGGAGAACTGAGTTCCAATTCTGGTTGGGTTCATTCAAATAGCGTTGCGGATGATATGAATCCACTTCTTCTCCCCCATCACAGTTGGAACTTCATACCTCTATGGGTTATTTAATGCCGAAAGCTAAATTATAAAGATTTTTCTCGGTGCAGTTATGTTTCATAACGTCAAAAACAAAGACGGACTCACTTGAAGAAGAGAAGAAACTCAAGAACAGGGTTAAATTCAACGGAGTTAATGTACAGAAGATTGGATGCACAATGATTAAAAAGAAGACTTGCAAATATAATTTGTATTTGCGGATTTAACATTTAGAAGAGTGTTTGAGGAATAAGTGCGATTTGCTGGCATCGTGTCTTCTGGATGCCATTAAAGTCGGAAAGGACGACTCCAATAAACGAATGGTCAATATGGTTATTACTTTGCAAAAGAGAAAGACTTCCGGTTCGAATTTACCACGTGACCCCAAGAAGGGGGTCTTGATTTGACAGTTGTTAGGCAATCAGAATTTTGGAGTGATTATGTTTTCAACTTCAGGGTTCAGCTTTGAATGGTAAAGCGTTAGCTTCCTATAGTATCACTTTCAAATTCTTATAATATGCTGCTAAACAAAAAACAACCCAAAACAATTAAAAACCAACCTCTTCCGCCATTTTTGTTAATTTTATTACATATTTTATTATTTATTTATTTGTTTGTTTTTATTTTTATTTTTTCGGATTGTAAATTTTTTCGTGTTTTCAATTTTTGAATATCTTTACGTTTTTGTTTAGCCCCTTTGAAAAATATATCACAGCCTATTATTCTCATCTGAGGTCGATTTCAGATCGTTTAATTCTGAAATGTGGATTTACAGATGCCTAATTTCTTTAATCTTTCTGATTTAATAATTTATATTTAAGCAAGAATTAAAGAATCGTTCTTCCACCAAGAACACGTACCAGCATCTGAGATGTTTATTTGTTTTTTTTTTTTTAGATAGTGTCAATATCTATATATTTTTAAAAACTTGATGGCGCCTATTAAAAGAAAGTAAATAGTTATCCTCCCCCAAGAAGGGGTGCCATTACCCATTTCATAATGAGGGTCACAATTGCAAGAGCACCAAGAAACTGAACGGAAGAAATGTGGACATTTCATTAAGAACCATTCACAGAATCAAGAAACATGGAACATGAAAAATGGTCACTTAATTTAAGAGACAAGAGAAAAAAATGAGAGTTTGAGTTTGACTTCTTCTTCTTCTTCTTCTTCTTCTTCTTCTTCTTCTTCTTTGTGCCATATCCTTTAAAGACGTTGTCCTGGGTAAGACGTTAAACTACGTCCTGCAGCAAGGCCTCAGATCAGGAGGTTTTGAGGAGCATGGGACCACCTCTTAATTGCTGGTGTTCCCTGGTCCACCCTGACCCGGGGTGGTAGCATCTGTTAGGGTTCCAGCTATGAGCAAATAGTTAATTATTACTAGCAGTACGTTTTTTGAAAAAAAAATATTACCAGCAATGCTATACTGAAGGAAAAATATAACCCGAAACAGATTTTCGACAAAACAAAATATTACATGGAATAAAAAAATTTGTCGGCATTAAATAACCCATTGAGGTTGATATGCCGTAGAACAAAATTAACCAAACTAACCAAACCTTTTAAGACGTTGGCGATCATGGCTCTCCACAATTTCCTTTATTTTGTAGCTCTTAATAACTTTTGTTTTCTTGACATTTCTCCCAAACCCCACTCCGCCACCCATTCATTCAAGCCCCCCAGGTAGGTTATTCTTTACTTCCTATGTCTCTCTTACCTTCATTCTGTCTTGTGAGTAACAAATTTTCTAAGCGATGTTTCCTCATCATATGCCTTATGAAATGTGGAAGAAATGTGGACATTTCATTAAGAACCATTGACAGAATTCTCCAACTGAATAAAGAAATAGAACTGGAAAAATTGAGAGTTCTTCTTCTTCTTCTTCTTCTTCTTCTTCTTCTTCTTCTTCTTCTTCTTCTTCTTCTATATACCATATCCTTTTAAGACGTTGGCGATCATGGCTCTCCACAATTTTCTGTATTTTGTAGCTCTTAACTTTTGTTTTCTTGCCATCTCTCCCAAACCACACTCCGTCACCCATTCTGTGAGTAACAAATTTTCTAAGCGATCTTTCCTCATCATATGCCTTATAAATCACAGCTGTCTTTCTGGTGTTAATCATAAGTGTCCTTTTGGTTGCTATTGTCTTGAAAACATCGTAGTTGTTTACACGTTCGGCCCATGGTGTTCTCAGCATCATTCTGTAGGACGACATTTCGATCGCTTCAAGTCTCTTCTTCAGCTGTGCGTAGATTTAGCATTCAGTCATTTGGGAGGAGTAGTAAAAGTAGAACAGTATTTTTTTTTTGCAAAATATTTTACTTCTAATAAAGAAAAAATTAAAAAAAAAACGTTTGGGTGCGAGGCTAGCAAATCCACCCCTTAATAGCCGACTTCCTACAGAGACCGCTACAGTAACACCTTGGGTGGTGAGTCCGAGGCATTATACTCAACAGAGGTGTTCAAAGACAGTAAAGAGGATGAAAATTGGCCCCAACCAAATGATCTCGAAATAGATTTGTTTATTCCAGAAGATTGCACAAGAAACGCCCCAAACGAGAGTGCCACATGAAGCACCTTTCAATTGGACTATGACATGAAAATTAAAGGTAAGCTGTTTTTTGTGGCAGTTGACATTGAACCGGTCAACTTCTGATCAACCCACCAAGTGATAATAAGCTGCGTGTCTAAAACTACTGCGTGTCGTATTCACCTTAGTGCGTTGATAATTAAACCTTATTAAATATTAAATTAAATTATCCGAAATAATCTGGGTTTGTTACATATTCTGGTCCCCGCCAAAGTTTACAATGTATCTAAAATCTTATTATTATTATTATTATTATTATTAATGCTGTATATACACTTCCTTCCCAAACTAAGGTCAGAAATGGCTTCATGACATTTTCCCCTGATCACACATTTTACATAAATAAATCTCTTCCGAACGTTGAGTTTGAACATAGAATTATTGAATTAAGTAGACTGCGTGACCATAAAAGAAACGCATAAGTAGGAAGTCGTGTGACGTCTAAAAGATCGCTATTTCTACTCTATCCTTTATTACTATTCTGATCTGCATTTCTAGCCTATCTTCTATTAGTATTCGGATCTGTATTTTTAGTCTATCCTCTATTAGTATTCGAATCTGAATTTGTAGTCTATCCTCTATTTACTATACGGATCTGCATTACTAGTCTATCCTCTATTAGTATTCGGATCTGCATTTCTAGTCTATCCTCTATCAGTATTCGAATCTGCATTTCTAGTCTATCCTCTATTACTATACGGATCTGTATTTCTTGTCTATCCTTGTGAGTACAATTTTTTAAAAATTTATTTATAGTATTAGCTATCAGAAATCACTTCAATAAGTCGATCGGAACATTTTCCCTAACTTCGGGGATGTCCTCATGTGCCACATTTTTGAGATTTCCATTTCAAGGTGCTTGCATTTTGATAGATTTAGAAGGTCTTCGACGATACATTGCAATTTGCAGGGACTGCCATGTCAGTAAGAAGGCAGAATTTTTTTCTCTGTTGTCTCTGATCAGGATCTTTGGATGATTGGCTTTGATTGTTCTGTGTGCGTCTGCGTGTGTATTGTAAAGTCTCATAAAATATTTACAGGTCCGATCTCTGTAACCGGGTCTGGGTGATGGTCATACCAGTTTTTTTGTAGTTTCCTTCCCGTTAACGTTGCATATTTTCCAATTCAGATATTGTCCCAGTCGATCATGTTCAGTTTATATTCAGTTGATGTTAACACTGTGCATCCTGATACAAAATGGTCAATTGTTTCTGGATATTTATCACAGAATCTGCATTTGGGTACAACACAATTTTCTGTATATGTGCTTGGTAATTTCTAGTTATCAAGCATTGGTCCTGTGCAGCAAGAATGAAACCTTCAGTTTCAGCTTTCAACCCTGCACTACGTAGCCACTGATAGGTACTGGTTTTGCTGACATAAGCTTGTTTGGTACAGGCACAGTATTGACCACGAAGAAGCTTATCTTATTATCGTTTCCGAATTGGTACATTGCATTTGCTTAGCTTTTTAAAATTTCAGCTATGTAACCACTGATGGCTATGGCGTTTGATACAAGCAGAGCATTGACCATGCAGAGGCTTATCTAGCCATCGTTTCTTCTACTTCTTCTCATTATTATTATTATTATTATTATTATTATTATTATTATTATTACCTGAGCCAATAAAGACGTTATCGAAGCGTGAGATATCGTGTAACGTGATCCTGCTACAGTGATCAATATCTTTGCCTTGTGGCACTTGTAGCAGTGATCTGGATAGTTTTTTTTTGTTTTTTTTTACGGCTCATCAAACTTTTTTTCAGGTTATTTAAAGCCAGAAATAGTTTAAATTGTAAGTATTTCTGGGGATAATAACGATTTATTGATACAGACCTTACTAATTTTTGTGATGTCAACGACAATAGTTTGACAATTTTTTAATGCTCGTTGTAGTAGGGACTTTGTAATCGCAGATGCAACGATAGTAACGCTGTCAGACACCTTCAAATAACACTCGCACTAATAGTACTTGTTCGATAATACTCGCTCGAAAATAACCACCCTATTCATCCGAATAGAGAATAGTGTAAAGAAAAGAATAGACGATAGCGGTCCGTATAGTAATAGAGGAAAGACTAGAAATGCAGATCCGAATAATAATAGAGGATAGACTAGAAATGCACATCCGTATAGTAACAGAGGATAGACTAGAAATGCAGATCCGAATAGTAATAAAGGATAGACTAGAAAAAGCGATCCTTTCTACATATACGTTTCCTCTACGGTCACGTGGTCTACTTAATTTAATAATGGGATCGCCTCTGTTTGCTTACT